TTGCCTGCCATGGTGCTTTCCAAGCCAAAATCGTGTGGCTTCCTCGCTTGGAGGTACCAGGTGCTAGGACCACTTAGCAATGGAAGGAAGACCTCCCCCAGCACCTGGGCAGCAGCAGAACAAGCGAGGTCCTTTAGGGATTGGCCAGTCCCCCTGGACAAACACGCAGCGTCAAACAGGCCCCTGGGTCTAGTCGTGCAGCCACTACTTCACAGCAGCCCTGAACACCTGTCCAGGCCAGCCCCTGGCCAATGGGACCGAGGACATGCCGACTGGGCTAAAGGCTGGGCTGAGGGCGGATGGCCCAGGGTGCTGTCCCAGGCGCGCCCACCTCCATCTGCCTGGAATTCCTCCTGCGGAGCAACTCATGATGCAGACAGGACCCCGTGACCGTCACACATGCCAGGCGTTGTGTTGAGTGATTCACAGGAGACAAGCCCAGAACGGTATCCCCACGTCACAAACATAGACATGCAGGGCCCTGCTGCAGGAGCGGTTTAGGGGGCAGGATCCCCACCAGGCTCGCCTGGAGGCCCCATCCCCACCGCCCTCCCGCCTTCACCCACACATGTCCTCTGAACCACCACTGGTTATAACCTCAAGCTGCGCCTAAGAGGGTATGGGGACGACGAGGTTACATCTGGTACTAATGCATGTGCCCACCCAGGAAAGAGCCTGCGTTTATACTCAAGAATATTTTCAGTGACCCGCCTACCAGCTAACCCAGCAGCACGGTTTGTAGCAACGAGATACCATACATGGACCAATGTCCCTCACATGCTTCACCCCTGAAAGGGCAGCAGCTTCCAGTACCCCCCGGCCGCCCCCTGCCGCCCCCTCCCCATCCTCCTCATGCATCTCAGCACGGAGGCTCAGCCCTCCCCATGATCTCCTGCACCTCCCCAGCCCTCAGCACCTCCCACGAAAGGCCCAGAGTACCCTCAGTCCCCTGGACCCTGTTCCTTCTCCAGTGGGTTCAGGGTAAGGGTAGCTCCCAAGGGTAGGGGCAGCCTGGTGTGGCTCACTAGGCCGGGACTCAGAAGGTCTTGTGAGCAATGGCCAGGAGCAGAGGCGGCCTCTGCTTAGCCGGAGCGCTGGGATTAACAGAGTCTGAGCATTCATTGACTAACTCAAACAAACGGGGGAAGACACCCCCTTAGACACTTCCTCCACCGCTGGACTCAGTCTATGCTCTCAGAAATGACCCGGTCCCTCTACAGACACTCCAGGGTGAAGCGTTTTCAGGTTTGGTGCCCATTCAAGGACCTCCCCCACCGCAAGAATCTCCGCAAAGACAAGTTGTGAAGTTTGACTTGTACTGATTTCTAACAAAACAGAGGTCTTTCTTTGTTCTGATCTGTGAAACTGTCAAAAACAGAGCTTTCAACTGACTGTTACCTTGAAGACACAGACGGTCTGTGGGGCCTCACGGCCCAGTGTAATTAGACACCACGATTAAAACACATTTCATGGTTGTCGGAGGGAAATCCTACAAGGAGGCCTGAGGTCTCCAGACTGGCGGCCAGAGACAATCAGCCAAGCCCTGGTCTCCCTGGAAACCACAATCCTCCTACCTTCTCACCTTTGGGGAAATTTCCATAAGATTCTCCAACTCTCCAATCAATAGTCACTTCCTCCCCAAGACGGTGGGGGGGGGGGGGTCTGGGAGCTGGAAGGAGCTGAGGACATGGCCATTCAGGCTCCAGCCTCCTCTCGAAGCAGAGTCTTGGTCACTTGCCCTGGGCCCACACTCACCCCTAAAGGCAGTCAGGGCGAGGACAAGAGTGACCGGCCCATGGGTCCAGCCTTGCCTACGGAGGATGGATGGGTGAGAAAAAGCAGCAGGCAGCCTGCACGTGACCAGATGTGGGGCCAACTGGGTTATCCAAGGCCATGCAGGGGACAAGTACATGCCCCGAGGCTCCAGACCCCCATCCCACTGCCCCCAGCCACAGGCCCAAACCGTCGCAGGCCACCGGAGGTCTAGCTGACGCCATCTGAGGATAGAGGGGGCTCGGTGGACCAGCCCTAGAGAAGGCAACTCACAGCAGTGAGCTGGTCAGACGAGCCCCGGCCTCTAGGGTCAGTTCCTGCCCTGCATCGCCAGCATTTTTCATCTGCCTATTTTAAACACCATTTCATTGGCAACTCCTACTGGCTTTCGGAGGTTCGGAGTTAGCCAATCTGCACCCCAGCTCTGGGCAGAGACCCCTTCTGGTGTGAGTGGGGCAACTCAGGAATTCTACCCCTTGCCTCACCAGTGAAAATGGGGCCACAAATGAGGAAAACCTGAGACTGGCAGACTGCAGGCCCAGAAGATGTGTGGTTCCCCTCTCTCCTAACTCAGGCCTCAAGCAGATCCCCCAAGACACCAGCCTGCCCGCCCAGGGGAAGGAGTCATGTGGGGAGGGCTCTGCCGGCCCAGGGACCGCTCTCCCTCCAGCTCAAGAAGAGGAAGGGACCTCGGGGCTGGGAGGAGCAGCCTGGTCTGAGATCCCTCCATACTCAGGGAAGCCTCCTGCCTTCAGAAGTGTTTCTGGGGCCGCTCCCAAGCAGAGGCAGTGATGGCCATAGCTCCAGGCCCAGAGGCACATTCAGAGACGGCCCCTTCTGCAAAGGGTGGGAGAGAGGGGGACGGGACCTGCCTGATGCCCACCAAGCCGGAGGTGGGGGGGGGGGGCGGGCCACAAGGCGACCACCTCCTTCCCCTCCTTTGATGCCCAGAGGGTCCAGCACACCCCTGCTTTCCAGAAGCCAGGCTTCGGTGGCAAAAGGCAGAGGAAGGTGGCCTAAGAAGGCAGCGCTGCCCACCCCACCACAATGCTCCCTGGCCCCATGGCTCCCCCAGGCCCAGCTCTGGAGGAGCTTGAACTGGCTTAATTAACGAATCAACAAACCAAACTGAGGAGTGTCGGTCCATGCTGGGGGGGTGGGGGGTGAGGCGGGCAGCGTGCACAGGGGAGGCCACACCCTCGGGGAACAGAATGAGGGCAGAAAAGGCCTCCTGAGACTGATGGCCTGGGCCCCAAGGATGGGCGGGGCCTAGGGACAGTGACGAATCCCATGCTCGGCACCGGTTGATGGTTGATGAACAAGAGAGGACAGAGATGTCTGTTCAAGGAGTACCCCCGGGCCAGGTGAGGGGAGGCCCCACACAGTTCGCCTCCACAGCACCTTGGGGGCAGGGGCAGGGGCAGCTGGGCCCCTTTACTGCCCTGGAGCCCCCACGCACTGCAGGCCCACTTGTCCTAACTTAGGGACACTCAAGAAGGAGGTAACAGAGACCCCACCCTGGGAGTGGCTGCCTGGACCCCGGCCCCACACACTATCCCTTCAGCTCTGGACGCTGGAAGCACAGATGGCTGACCGCTTCAGGCTGGGCATGGAGGGGCCAATAGAGGGGCCCTGGGAAGCCCGGCCAGCTGGGACCTTAGTGCCAAAGCACAGAAAACTCTCCAGTAGCCCCACTGTAGGTCAAACAGGAGTGGGGGCACCGTGGGCTGTGACCACGGATCAGAGGTCACCTCAGGCCAGGACCTGCTGGCCAGAGCCAGCCCCCAGGACCCCCTTGAGCCCCAGCCCGGAAGGAGAGAAGACGGGGCTCTTCCAAGGGTGAGGAACACACCTGGGCACGTCCGCCCAGGAGGATTACCAGGGTGGAGCCACCTCCCCAGGGCCGGCGGGGCTGATGCGGTGCCCAGGGAGCCTCTGGGGACAGTGCCCAGGAGGCCTCCAGGGCCGTGGTGACCCTCAGGACCCATTCCTCAGCAGCTGGGCACTTCCCTCCCAGGGTCTTCTCCCCCCTCCCACGGAGGGTCCATACACAGCACACTCACAGGGCACAGCACGCTCTCAGGACACACAGAGCCAGTTCTAGGTGGGCCCTCAGTTGTTCCGAGATGTTTTCCCAGAATCCACCCCTCACTCCCATCCCAAAATGCCTCTCCTCACAAAATGGCCGAGTCCCAGGCTGGCTGGGATGGGAGAGAGCGCCTGCATGCTCAGAAGCTGTGCGCACCACCGGCATGGGTGCACACACACACACACAGGCACAAACGCCACACACATGCGAACACCCATGTGCACATGCCGGCCTCTGGCCACCAGCCCTGCCTCAGGAGCCAGGAGTTCCCCGAACACCGGGCCTGGGGACACAGGCAGCCCTTCCACAGCCAGGGCGGATGGCCCCAGGATGGTGGCACCCCTTCTCCGGGGTGTCTGCTCTGCCAAGGAGGGGGTCCAGAGCCCAGAATGTGCACAGGGGCCTCAGGCATACACCTGCCCCTCCTGCTGCTGAGAGGAGTCAGGGCAGCGCTGCGCGGAGGGAGAGTGGGGGTGCAGGACAGCTCAGGGATGGGTGCAGGCGCCACAGGACAGGACAGCCAGCTAACTGCCCTGGGCCTAGGGCTGGGCAGGAGAGTAAGATTTGCACCCCTCCCCATTTCAGCAACCCAGGCGCTCAGCCTGGACGAAGAGCAAGCGGCTTGGGGGGATGGGGAAGGGTAAGCCGGCCCCTCCCCGACTTCCCTTTCTTTGGGGGAACCCATCTAGAGGGGGCCCCCCAGGAGTCCAGATCCACTGGCAGGACAGGTAGCGCTGCGCTTCCTCCCAGGCCAGCCCTTTGTTCCGTACAGAGACCGCGGGGAGGGGCTTCTGGGGCAGAGGAGGGGAGGCTGGGGCGTTGCAGGGCGCCCCATCCTGCGGGGGAGGGGCTGATGCAACCCAACCAGGCCGCGGGCGGGCGGGGGAGGGGGACAGACGCCCCCTCCCGGACCTGAACGCCGGATCCCAGAGCTCCTTTCAACCGTTTGTCTCCAAAATCGCTCTCCGACCTCCGCCCCCCGCATGAACCAAGGGACCCCAGGCACACGGTGTGACCGACGAGGGCGCCCGGACAAATACGGAGGCCCTCGTCCCCTGCAGCTGCGCGCCCGCGGGCCACCAACGGCCTATTGGCCCGGTGCCCCGCGACCCGCGCCCCCGCCCGGGTGGGCACTCACACGTAGGCGTGGTAGATGAACGCCCAGCCGCGCGGCCGCTCCAGCACGTTGTAGAGGAAATTTTGCAGCTTGCGGTAGAAGGCGTTGCGCTTGGGGGGCTTCCCGGCGCCCGCGCCACCCGCACGCGGCTTGCTCAGGATGCTGCCGCGCTTGGGGGCCTCGGAGCCGGCGATGAGCAGCGCGCCGTCCCGGGTGGAGTCGGGGGCGCCGGGGTCCAGCCCCACGAAGCCCACCTTGAGCTTCTTCTCACCGCTCGGGCCAGGGTACACGCCGCCGTTACGCGACTTCTGCACCATGGTGCCGGGCGGCGCCCGGGCGGGCGCGGGCTCAGCGAGTCTCCTGCGCCGCCGGGAAGGGAGGGGGGGTGGGAGACGAGGGAGGACCAGGCTGGGCCGCCGAACCCAGCCCTTTCCGCTCCTACGGCCACGTGTGCCCTGACGAGGGAATCCGGGCCCCTGGTCCTCTCTGGATGGGCGGAACCAGGCAATCACACCGCCCGACCAGAGCCCCCAGCTCTCCCTGGCCCCAGCTGAATTCTAACCAGCTGACCTGGACTGGACACCTTGGAGCCGGGGAGACAGGAGCTCTTGCCAGGCTCTCTGGTATAAAGCCCAGTCCCCAAGGACCTTGTGCTCCTGGCCTCTAGATGGACTAGGCTTTCGGACGGACGCTCTAGACCCCAGGCCCTTGGGTGAGCAGGGAGGCGTCTAGGACTTCCTTAGAGGTGGCCTGAACTGGGCCTTGGAGAGCAGGTCCAGGAAGGCACACAGCATGAGAAAGGCTGGGTTTACAGAGACCTCGGAGCAGGAAGAAGGGCGTTGATGTTCAGGAAAGTGAGGCCCGAGACACCGCAGGGGGCCTGGAAGTCCCCCAAGGGACCTGGGCTTTGTTCTGTAGACTCCAGAGGGGCCTGCGGCAGGAGCAGCAGTTGGAGAGCCAGCCCCAGGGCAAGACCTAGCCCTCAGGCCACTGGGGACATTGACGCCACAGTCCAGGACAAAGGAGGGCAGGCTTGGGACACAGACAGCAGGGTGTCCCTTGGGAGGAGTGGGCAGAGTTGGCCTCCCCTAGCCATGGATGTCCCGGGGAGGGGAGCGGTGTCGCTGAAAGACCAACGGGCTCACTCTCAGCCCCCGAGGGTCCCCTGCACACTCAATGCTGCCAACTTCTCACCAGCCCCCCGGGAGCCCGCTTTGCACACCTGGGATGTTGATGGCTGCAGGTGGCCCTCCTGACTACATTCAGACTCCTCCCAAATTCACTGGACAGTATGGGATCCACCAAGTGAATAGCCTGTTTAATAGCTGGCGCCGTCCTCAGCGGTAACTTGGGGCTCCTAAAACAGCAGGACCCCTGGGGCCAGGTCACCCATGTTGTTTGCCCTTTGGGTTCCAAAACCAGTGACCTGGTTTTGGGTTTTTTTTTTTTCACTTGGGCAGAAAACAAAATGGACAGTGCAGACACAGTGCTAAGTCATCTAGAATGTGGAAGGCGGGGACTGCAGCGCATGCCACACACACACCTGTGCACACAAATGCATGCCAGGGGCCACATTCCTGACCCCTACCTTCCTGCCTCTGTGCCTGGTCACTGGCTCCGACTGCCAGTATTAGTCGGGTTCACCCCCACTGAGCCCAGGATGAGGGAAGAGGAGGAGGACCTGGATTACAAAAGGAAAGAAGGAACCATTGCATCATGCATGCACTGGGTTTTCTCACCTGGGGGACACTCACGCTCAGTCCTCAGAAACCAGATGAAGCACCTGTGACTCAAATCTGCATGCTCCACAAGGGCTGACCCACCCCATCTTGCTGAGGGGAGGCCTTCCAGCCCCCAGGGTTCCACCTGAGCTAGGCACAGTCCCTCCCTGGGGTTGGATGGGAGAGCAGAGTGGGCTTATGGTTGGGGGGTTCACAGAGGTGCACCTGGGCAGGTGCGTCAAGACAGGAGCAAGTTGTGGGCTCTGCGTCTGAGACCCTGAGCAGGAACAGAGACGGGGGGGGGGGGACGAGCTGCCTCCACCACCTCCTGGGGTGCCGAGAGGGAGCACCACCTCCCAGCTGAAAGGGGACCAGGCCCGAGTGCAGGCCCCTGCTTGCTTGTCCACGGTGCTGTTGGTACCAACAGCTTCACCGAATCTCTCAGAGGTTCTGGAAGGTGAACCCTATATTGAGGTTTGAAAACCTCTGCTTCTGCTGTTCAGGGCTCCTTCCTGTAATCATCTGTGTTTTCAGTTTTGGGTCTTGCACAAGTAGACTGTACACCATCCAGTGCTCCCACCCTTGCCACCCAGACAAAACAGGTCATTGGAAACAGTCAGTTGGGGTGAATTTCATGCAGGCGACAGGAATTCCATTTATTTAAAAATAGATGGGAAAAGCTTTCAGGCTCAAGCCATCTTTGCCAAGACTGCACTGACAAGATCCAGAGAAGGGGAGTGGAAAAATTCAGATGCACATGATGCCCAGCTCCAGTTTGGGGAGAAAGCTTTCTCCTGCACGCTTGAGCCGGGTGCTGTCCTTTCAGCACCACCTCAGAGCCTCCTGAGACCAATGCACACTTTCGCCCTCTCTCTTGGCTTCCTCTTCCCATCTGCCACATCATTGGCTACACTGAGCCGTCATATTCCCATCGGGGAGCTGGGCACACAGGGCTGTGACCCTGTTTCCTGGCCAGCCTCCCCTGCCTTTGGGTGCGTCTCATCCACCATCATGTCCCTCAGAGCCTGGCACACGTGAGGCCTGCACTGGGAGTGGGGATATCATAGCTGCCAGCGGCAGAGGCCATCTAGAAGCAGGTCTGGATCATCCCTTCTTTGGGAACCTTCATGGTGACCCATCCCATGGCTCAGATCACGGCCTCAGCATTTCCCAGGAACCCATTTCTCCACTAGCCTGGGGGTGGTGACTCTAGCTTCACAGACTCAACATCAGACAGTGGGGCCTGAAGACATCAGAGCATAGGGGAGCGACTGGAGAGGAAGCCGGGTTTCCCCTGGCTGTTCATCCTGGCAGAGGGCCATCAGCATCGAGGTCCTGCAGGACGTCCCCAGGGGAGGTGGCTGCAGTACCCTGCTGTGGGAGCCCTTTTGGTTGAGCCCCATCTGTTGCTTTGTTGACACCCTGCAGTCACAAAAAATGCATGACCTGAGGGCTCTTGCATTCAGCCCCTGGGTCCATGGCCAGTGACCACATGGACGTGGCGGGTAGACACTGAAAAGCAGAGCTTCCTACTTCACCACCACCCCTTTTCCTTCTGTGGAAAAGGAGCAAGTTCCCTCCCCAATCACAATGCCTTCAGAAAAACAGATGGTTCCTCCGAGGCCCAAAGGGAGAGCTCCACCAGGCCAAGAAGCAAGACTTAATTTGGGAAAACGAGGAGAGACAGGTTCTCAATCATACAACCTGGGCCTGAGCTGCTGTCGTCTCAGCGCCTTGATCTGGGGCAACAGGAAGTGCCTGCCCAGACAGAGTCCAGTCCCCCACGCCCACCCCCACCCCCACCACTTGCAAGGAATTTTCCGTTATTCAGAGGAAGGGCTGTGTTATTTCTCCAGCTCATGGAAGGAACAGGGAAGTGAGGAAAAGATTCAAGACATGGAAGAATTGATTTCTTTTTAAACATCTTACACACTAAAGTCAATATAAATTTAATTTATAGGTTCTTTTTAAAGGGTCAGATCTCTCAACAAGCTTCCCAGCCCCTGGCAACTCAGCTAATTGCATGCAGGAGCTGACTTGCGTTCCTTAGCCACCAATAACACCTTGATGCCAGGAGTCCACAGTCGCCTGTGACAGCGGGAAAAAGATCAGGCAACAGAGTTGGCCCTGGACACGTACAGATGGGCAGAAATCAACATGGAGATTCTGGGAGACTGCATTTTGCCATCGCCAGCCCATAGCTTCCTTATGAGGCATCCCACATTCCCCTCCTCACACCTCCAGGCAAATGAGCATTCTATAACCTCTGTCCTCATTCAAGTTCATGTGTTCTTGTTTGGAGGTGTGATCCAGGCCCCCTGGGTTCTCTGCATGTCAACACTCCCATGGCAAGTTGATCCCCACTTTCCTCGCCATGGCCTTTTCATCTGGGTAATCAACTCGCTCCCCACCCTCCCAGCTCCTCTCCCTGGGCACATGATGCTCCAAGGATGCTCAAGCAGGTGAAGCGGGCTTCAGTATACTGTTCCCTCTGCCAGGAATGTTGTTCCCTCCATTAGCACCAGAAGGTCCCTGCTTGTGGGTCTCTCCTGAGGTGTAACCACAGCCCCCACTCTCAGCTCTGGTTCACAGTCACAATCGGAAACTGTGCTACTTATTAGCTCACCTCCTGTTCATCCCCCACCCACCCAGACAGGGAGATCAAGAAGAGGGCAGTGCCACACTCACATCCCTGTGTGCACATGCACACACACAAACACACACACAGCTCTGTTCATACACTCACATCCTCCCACACACACACAGCCCACTGCATACACACAGCCCAGTGCACACACTCACATCTTTGTGCACACACACAGACCACTGCACACACATCACAGCCTCTGGCCCCACCCACAGGAGGTGATGAATGAGTGAATAGTCACTTTTCTCTAGAACTGGAGGTTGCTTGGAGCCTCCAGCCAGGATGCACCCTTGATGACTGGCCTGGGGCTTGTGTGGCTGGGGGGTGGCCCAGTAGACCGTGGGTGGATGTGCACTGGAGTGCAATGCCGTGGAGACAGGCTCCCTACCATCAGAGTGGTCAGCCGCCCTGCCCACACCCAGGCATCGGCATCTGGGTCCTGGCTGCCTGCCCACTGTCAGCCCTGGCTCGCTTGAGTGCTTGGCTTGATTGGCCAGATGTCCAGTAGGCTTTGGACAGAGCTGTCCAGCCTGGGGCAGGGCCTGTGGGCACAGCCCCTCACCCAGGACAAGGTCACTACACTCTAAGCCAGGGAGATGGGACAGAAAGGCTGGATTCCTGGACCAGTAAACAAGGACACACCTGCCTAGACAGAGCTGGAGCCCTCAGCCCACACTGAGAGCTCTGGTGGGGTGGCCCTTGATGGATTACTCCACCAGAAATGCAGTCCACCCCATAGCACTGCCAGAGGCGAACTCACGGGTTTCTCTCAGCTGTGTGACCTTGGGCAGATCAAAGGATCCTTGCAGGGGTTCTCACTGATCAAGTGAAGAGACATGGCTCCCACCTTACAGGGGTGTTGGGGATTCTGAACAGAGATGACCCTGTAAAGCATCACCCAGCACAGAGCAGCATCCAGGAAATAGCAAGGAGATGCATGACAAGCCCAGTCCTGGCTTACAAGCACTCTCTTTCTTGGTTT